AACTAATTAGCTTTTTCTCTGGATGTAGTGAGATTGAAATTACTGTGTGTGTGTGTGTGTGTGTGTGTGTGTGTGTGTGTGTGTGTGTGTGTGTGTGTGTGTGTGTGATGCACCGTCAACATTTTCTTCTTCACTCACCTCCTTGTATTCCACCTAAACGATAAACCGCGCTTCATTCACCAGAACCCACACAGACATCTCAGGTACCATCCCCTCCACCGGTGAGAAGCATTGCTTCTTATTGCTAGCCACCTAACAGCTATGAGACTCTCAGTTACTTCTTACATCATGCACTCTGATTTCTAACGAGGGATACGAGTCAGAGTCGGTACAAAGTCTCGAGGGCCTCACTGCCACTCGGCACAGTCAGCAGTGAGCAACACTAGCTAACGTTAGCTTAGAATCAGAACCTAGCATGCAACATTTTCCTGATGACTTCACGGGCTCAGTCATTAGTGTCAAGTCACGTTGAGACTAACAAGTGAGATCATGACGTTCATTTTACAAGTTATTAGAAAGGAGGATTATGCAGATGCACTCGTTGGCTGATAACGTCTTAATGAAATCATTAGCCATCCTGTTGACTTTCTCAGACTATTGAGTTTAAGAGTAAGAATTTACTGAGACGAATCAACACATTCATGACCAAAATCCACTGATTTGGTGACAATAAGAAGAACACAGACTTCTGTTTAATCCTCTGCAGCGTGTAAATGATGCACGGCTGACGCCTGCGAACGGCTTTGCATGCTGTCATTCTGCATAAACACAGGATCTGTCACTCGCTAATTATCTCCACACCTCATGGTCCTGCCTGTTCACACTCTGCAGGTAATTCTTATGAATTTTCATCCATAAACTCACACTTTTATATAAAAACATGCGATACATTTAATATAACTGTGCGACACCCGCTGGCTCTTTTAATGATGTGTAAACTAATTGGTCACACAAGACGGCATACTGTGCACACTTGCAGGAACAAACCACCAGCATCATCACACAGCTGAAGCTTCATATCTAACCAAAGCTTGCATTTTGTCTAAAGCATCTGCTGCAATGCATGCTGGTCTGTCTCCATCCTGTCCTGCAGCCCTTATACTAAATGGATGGCTGCCATGTTCAGCAGTTTATGAAGGAACACTTTTCCAGGATAACTTTTTGCTATCATGAAAATCATTTATCGCTCAAACATGTTGACCTCTTTGTCATTTCCACCCCACTTCACTTCCTTCTTCTTTCCCCTTCTCGCTCCAATCTCCCTCTGTACTACTCCTCATCACTAATTTCAGCCAGAAGTTGAGTTTCAAGGAGCGGGTGAGGATGGCGAGCCCCCGAGGTCAGAGCATCAAGAATAGGCAGACGTCATCAGTGAACGACAGGCGCTCTCCGGTGGCTGACGCTGGCACAGAGGGCACCAGTCCCGCCAAGGTTCAGAAGAGCTGGAGCTTTAACGACCGCACGCGGTTCAGACCGTCGCTCCGCCTCAAGAGTCAGTCCCGCTCCACCACTGATGGTGCGTGTGCCATTCTGCTTTCACTGCCGGTATTTTATATCAGTGTGGATTATTAACAAAGCAAAATCACCTGTTTTAGAGTCTGGCTTCTGGCCTCCACCATGCTGGCTTTTTAGTGGTGGCTTATAAATGCTAAGTAACATATTACCGTACCAAAACTGAAGACGGCCTTCTTGGTTTCATCATCTTCTCTCTATTATCATGGAGTCTTTAACTTGAGGTGCCCGTTGTTGTGTTTTTGCGTTATATAAATAGTACTGGACAAAACTGCTTTTCCTGTGAGGGGAAAAAAAAAAGATGTTAGAATTTTTTCCATTTAAATTTTGAAATGTCTCAATGTCTTTTTTTTGTTCAGAGCAGGTCTAATAACTTATTTTAGCCATTAGGCTACATTCACTGCTGCTCATTGTGTGCTGTCAAAGTCAAAATCGGCCAGTTTCAGTCATGCGGGATTAACAGGAAGTGAGTAACCTCTCCAAACAGCTGCTCTTGCTCTTCCTTGAGTGCCACATTTAAAGAAAGGTGTTCCAGAGATATAAAAATAAGCACAACTGCCCCAACCTCACTGCTCATATTTAACCGACTCTCGATCCAGCTCATCAGAACTGGTTTGGCTCACTAATGACGCAGCGGAGTGGAGGAATGCTGATGGCTGCTGTGCTCACTTTCTTTGGCCTAGCAGTGCCGGCCTGGCGAGTCCTCCTGGGTAACAGCCAGTTGGTGGTTGTGGGCGGACTGATGGATAGATGGAAGGTGGGGGTGGTGAGCTCCAGGAGCCATATGGGGTGTCAGAGCCGTCCAGCTGGCTGAGGCCTGCTGGTGGAGAGGAATCATTAGCCAAGCTAGCCAAAACCAAACTGGTTGGCTGGTTAGCCACGCTGCGTCTGATCGCTGACATGTTGGCTAAGTGAGACATTAGAGGATGGGAAACATCTCCCTTCCATTCTGGCTTAATTAGAAATGAAACCAGGAATTATTTTAGTGGAAAGTTTTTAATGGAGCAAATCATTAATCAGCACTGTTTTTCATCAGCAGCAGGTCTGACAAAACCCACATACTGTGGAGTAATCGATCCTTTCCTGAGGTCATCTACAGTGTTTAGTTCAACAGAACACATCAACGGCATTAACCCTGTGCTTACCTCCTCAGGGTGCTCAGGGTTCCTGCTCCATTTGGAAAATCAAAATGAAGTCTTTCTAAACCTTTAATGCTTTATTACCCCATGACACTAAGGTGAATCTCTGGATTTTGGACAGCTTTGATCTGTGCTTTAAACTATTTAGACTCCAGATTTTCCACCAGCTCACAGAGATCCCCACAGCCCAGCAGAGGCGTGTAACTACAAAGTGAAGGTCAATGGATTAGTAAGCTGTGTTGAGCTTAAAGTCCGAGTTTAGTCTCTTATGAGTCTTGAGTCACTTTTTACCTGTTACATCGAGGTGGTAACTTATTCTGAAACTAAACAGTGACCTGGTGATGAGCAGGTTTTGTTTAGAGTTTCTGTCTAAAAACAGCTGGAATTGTCCAAAACTACAAAAACTACCAGGGTCAAAGTATTCGTCAGATGTTCTTCAGCAGGAGTGATGCAAATTTGAAGTTGTTGTCATATTGGAAGACAAAGCTATTACCCAAACCTGGTTTTGCCTGCTGACTGCTTGATGTTTTCTTCTTCACATATCCTTCTTTCGTCTAGTGGTGCAACGGATCACAGTTGATCCGTAATCCAAACTGATCCCACTCCACAGAGCGCATGGTGGGTCTGTCAAGCGATAGTTATGGCCAGCGCTAGCGGTCCAAGTGGAGGAGCAGAGGAGTTTGCGGTACTTAAGCAGCCCTTTCATGCCCAGTCCGACCGGGCTAAAGCTAATACAAAAGCTATTGGAGTGTTTCGCTGCAGACGGGAGGCCGTATTCCATTGTGCAAAACAAGGGGTTTAAACTATGATGCACGTGCTTGAGCCACGCTATGATATCCCGTTGCGCGTCCACTTTAGTGACAAGATCGTACCCAGGCATGTATGAGCAGGAAAAGATTTAAGTTATGGCTGAACTGTCCCAGGAATCTTCTGTTGCCCTAACTACTACAAATGGGTGGAGCTCCAGGGCAACGGAAAGCTACGTGACCATGACCGCTCGTTATATCACAGCGGAGTGCGATATAATGAGCGGTATGTATTATTGTAGGGTCTACCTAACAATATCAAGCGCCTTGAGGCGACTGTGTTGTTGTGATATGGCGCTTTATAAATAAAAGTGAATTGAGTGGTAGTTACAAAGCCCTATACTGCCCTATATTGTACCATTTTTTTATTTTAAATAATTGCGTAGAATGAGTCTAGAGTTGAATGTTTTTAACATGTAAAAAATACTTCCATAAGTAAATAAGTAAATGTTCAATTTTTGTCTTTTTTATTTTTTTGCTGATCCGAAAATTGATCCGATCCGTGACTTAAAACCGTGATCCGATCCGAATCGTGAGATTTTTGATCCGTTGCACCACTACTTTCGTCACAATACCTTCAACCTTGATGAGATTCCGAGTTCCAGATGCACTAAAGCATGCTCCCATCATCGTGTTTCCCTGTGCAGACGGTGTTCTTTGGGTTGTCTGCTTCTCCCTTCTTTCTCCAAACATAAGCAGCGTTTCTGTGGCCGAAGAGCTCTAGTTTTGTCTCATATGAACAAAGGACGCACTTTCAGAATGCATAACCTTTCTCTGTGTCTGTTACGAAGAAGTGGAGTTTTTCTTGGTCTGCAACCTCGCAGTCAGTTAGATTTTTGGAGGTTAATTCATTTTACAACTACATTAGTTTGTTAACCTAACAGCACCATCAATCTACATAACCACAACCTAAAATCATGAGCTAGCCACGATAAGACAGACCGCATGATCTTCACATTTCAAATATGTATTTGTACCTGTCAATCAAACATGAACCGCCCCAATTTTAGGCTCCACCAATGTGCAAATGGATGCATCATAAAAAAGTGTGCCCATTGTATAGTTATTATTCGTGTATTCATGGGAGTCTAGAGGGACTGACTCGCTTTTTGAGCCAACCTCAAGTGGCCATTAGAGGAACTGCAGTTGGTGGAACATTTCTTTTCAGACCCATCTTGACTGTGATTTGTAAAGCAAACCATGACTTGAAGTTTCTGCGACTGCATGTTAGTGTGTTTGAGCAGTAAGACTAACACGGCTCACTGCAATCTGTTGTTTGTGTGGATGCAAAATGTTCTCATTGGCATAAAGTGACTTCATCGCTATCACAGAAATAAATAATCCTCCTTTTCTGCGCCTCTCTTCCAAACAGCAGACTCCAACATTACAGCGGAGGACGGTTTTGATGAGAAGGGCTGTCACTGCGACATCTCAGTGGAGGACTTGCAGCCCTCGGTCAAGTCTGTCATCCGAGCTGTCAGGTGAGACAGAGGAAATGAGACTTCCTCTTTCAGTCTAACTTCTGCTGCAGTTTTCCGTGACCCAGGCTGCAGGCAAACTAACCCTGATTGCGACCAACCCCCCGCCGTCTTCTGATTGAGCTCAGGGGATTAAAGTGACCGGATGGTTGTTATTTCTGTTAGTTTATTTTTGGATCATCAGGAAATATGGTTAGTGGGAGGATTAAAAGCTGTGTAAGGTGATCGTGTCACAAGGAAACAAGAGTAGACACGTCTTCATGTCCTTCGTGTCCTGAAAGAACTAAAGAGCCTGTTAGATGCAAGGTCATCATACGTCCCCGACCAGCAGGAGTTCAATAAAAGTTAAAAGCAGCTCAGTGTTTGAATTATTAAATATATAATAACTAAGACTATAATGCTGAAGCTTCTGTGGCTCCATGTGGTGAACGAGCTCCTTAACAAGACACCTCATGTTGGTTTTTCTTTTAGTTTTTACTTTATGAGCATCGACAGACTTTCAGTTTTATCAAAAAACAATAATAAACATCAGTGGTTCACCTCATCCCTTTATCCAGCTTCCACATATAAAGTGAACTGGCTGTCACGCATCACTTTGTGGACACAGACCGGTGTGAAAATAGTGACACAGCCACATCAGTCAGGATAGCCTTCACTAAAGGCTACAACTTTAACGTAGGTACCTGCTGTATTTACAAAATTATGTAGGATCAAAAATGCTGGAAATACAGCAAATAAACATCAGTGCGCTTCAAAGGCTTGTATTCTGAAAATATTAGCTTCATTAAATATGCTTCAGTTATTGTGCAAAGAAAAGTGTAAATTCACTAATCAAATGTCCTACGTGCCAAACTCGAGGCCACTGAGGGGCCAAGAAGCTAAACAGACGTGCTCACTTCCATGGCACCTGCAAGCTAACGAGCTTCCTTACGCAGAATGCACCCAAAGGAAAACGAATGTTCAAGTCCATAGTAGAGTTTTGTGTATGCACTCACTCACAACAGTCTCACATTCTGAAACCACATGACAGCACAGAGATGCGAAGGTAAGTCGGGGGTACGGCAAATTCAGGAAGTCACTAAATGAGATTTGCAGCTGCAGCAAAAATGTTCTTTGAGTCAATCTGACAATAGCAGAAGCCAGGTATGCCACTCACCTCATAACTTGTCACTTGTACATTTTTATATGCATCACATTTCGTGTCAGAAGGCTCAGTGGTATGTACATGTAAACTACATCATCAGGACCCCCTGTTTTGCTCTATGAAATGATGCTGGCTGAGCATCTTATTAAATATTTTTGATATTTTGAAGCATTCACATGGACCAAAACTGTATATCAGAAGGCTGTGACAATATAATCCAGCATGTTTTCATTGTTTCCGACCCCTTTGACTCTCCACTTTCAGCCACGTTCCCTTGAATTCAGCCTCAGTGCTCCACAGGTGTTTCCATCCACATACACATGCAGCTAAAATCTGCCTTTTTTCTGAGAAAGTGGTTGTTCTGAGCGTTTGAAATGCTGTGAACAAACAGGTCGACACATTAAAAGCACCATTAAGCACTATCAAAATAAATGCAGGCTTTAATTTGTTTACATTAGCTCAGGCTGGCAGTGTCACGGCTGGACCACAGCTCCCCCTTCTGGTGAATTTATGAACTTCTGTGCTGTTCATGCAGGATCATGAAGTTTCATGTAGCCAAGAAGAAGTTTAAGGAGACGCTGCGTCCGTATGATGTGAAGGACGTGATCGAACAGTACTCTGCCGGTCACCTGGACATGCTGTGCCGCATCAAGAGCCTGCAGACCAGGTAGGACGGACATTGTACTGCAAAAGATCTGCATGTGTGTATGCATTCCTTATACATGCATGGGTTTATCTCACGCTGTTTTTTTCTTTTTGCAGTTTGTGTTTTTGCATGTTTGTACCTGTGTTTGCTTCTCTCCAGGCTGGACATGATAGTAGGCCCACAGCCCCTGAGCAGCCGAGCCAAGGCCTTTTCCTCCCCCTCCCTGTCTGTCTATTACAGCCAGGGGAGGAAGAACTCCACCCAGGGGTCAGAATTCCCCCAACTTACTCAATCTACCCACCTACTCTGTCATTCGCATGTCACATGGGTTCAGTTCACTCCTCAGTCGCACAATTCAGGAGCTGGTTTGTTCTCAGAAACGTGAAGGAAAACAAAGTGCGGCCTCATTTATCAACCATTCGTTAGTCCAGCATACCTGACCGTCCCTTCATGGAGAATTGATGGCAATGAGGTTTACAAAACATGCACTCGGGACAATTAGTATAACTGTTGAGTTCATTTTTTGCTAGAAAGAGAGAGCATAATTGCCCCCATATTGGCTTCCCTTCATTGGCTTCCTGTTAAATCCAGAATCAAATTTAAAAGGCCCCATCTTATTTTAATGACCTTATAGTACCATATAAACCCATTAGAGCACTTCCCTCTCAGACTGTGGGCTGACTTATGGTTCCTAGAGTATTTAAAAGTAGAATGGGAGGTAGACCCTTCAGCTTTCAGGCCCCTCTTCTGTGGAAACTCCCAGTTTGGATTCCACTTTTAAGATTAGGCTTAAAAGTTTCCCTTTGACAAAGCATATAGTTAGGTCTGGATCAACTGATCCATAGAAACCGGCAGTTGCTGAGCCTGGCTCACCAGAGATGAAATAGAGAAATGGATGGTGTGCAGCGTGCATGTCTAAGGACTGCGGGGACCTCCTTTGTAGATGGTGTTGAGTGGCTGACGAGTACATAATACTATACTTCAGCTGTGCCAACATCTCACTTCTGATTTTGGACAGGCAAAGTCCCTCTTGATCCAAAATTCACTTAGTAGCACTGCTTGGAAACTTTTCTGAATGACCCTTGTTTTCACTGCTCACCAGGACATTAAACTATTTTTATGTGTACAGTTTTCACATTGAAGAACAATTACAAACACAGCTCTATAAATCCCAAACTCAAAGGATTTCAGCTTACCATTTAACAATGATGTAAGCCCCTGAAGCATGCTGTGTGTCCTAAGAGACTGGCAGGTTTGTCAGGAAGGGGACAGATGAAGCCTAAATCAGCTTGAGTTGACACAGTGCAGTGCAGTACTACTCCTTCCAGTCCTCCATAAAACTGATAGATTTGCTTGTCTTTGTTAATCAGGACCTTTACATTGCTGCCAGTGTTGTTTTGTTGCCTTTACCTTCACTTCTTGTTCCACATGTGCCACCCGAGGCTTTTAGGGGGTTGAAAGTTCAGGATTTGTCACCACAGCTGTGCACAGCTGTGCCTTTATATGCATGATAAATCCAAGTTGTCTGCAGGTTTGGAGCTTTTTTCCTCTGATGATTTGATAAATGAGGCCCCTGGTTGACGAGCTAAAGCCTGAATTAACTGAGCTTCGAGCCACACTCTGCTCCCACACACAAACACGTCCTGGTATATCTGCTACTAACCAGCCACTAACAGATCTCTTAAGTAAATTGACTTCTGTTCTGGGAAAGGAGTTTGCAATGTGATGCTAACATGTTTTAGACACACTCCAATCACACACCAGAAGGTTTCACCTGTCATTGCTGTTGCAACACTGCCCCCTGCTGATGCTGTGTGCACTCTGTTGCTGCAGATGAGCCAATCCGACTTGCAAAGGGTGGAGGGCCTGTCAACATGCTTCTTTTTTTTTAACCACATCTCGTAGTCACGAGTAGAGTCTAACACAGGCCAGCAAGCTCCAGCCACAAATAACTTCAACCTGCCATGACCTCACTGTAATATATGAAAACATCTGTAAGATTAGAATAGAGAAAGCTGTAACAGTCCTTAAATTTACGCAAAATGTTTTTTGTTTTTTTTAGTAAAATGTTTAAAATGTTACATGGAGGCTGGTCTTGTCTATATTTGGATCCAGTCCACAATTACAATCCCCAGATCGTCTACATTTGATCTGCATGTTTCATATTCAAGAGGAGCGTGAATCATTCGGTTCCTGCCCATCTTATCCTGAATTACATTTCTTATTTGAAATTGGACTGATTTACAATGAACGAGTGTCGTAACTCTTCTCGCTTCCTCCTGTAAAAATACAGTTTTAGAATCCAGATCTAACTTCCCGGTGTAGTGCTCGATCCCCTTTTCTTCTAGCATGATTTAGTGGTGACATACAGGGTGTCCACACCTGACTTTTTCTTCTTTCTTTTGGTGAACTCGTGATTGCATGATCTTGGCTCAGTTTTTCTGTGCTCTCTGTCAGCTTTAACACAAACAGACTTTATTAACCAGATCCCACAGAGCCTGACTGGATTTAGCATTTAGACATAAATATAATCATGTGTAAACCAAAATATAAGACTCTAATGTTTAGAGTCTGAAATAAAAAGTTGTATTGTTAATTGGTAAAATGTAATCTGGTTGGTAATGTTTGGAAGTGTGAAGTCCAGTGAGGAAGATTAATCTCTCGTGTTTGGATTTGTTTTATTCGGGGAAAGGTTTACTTTAGATAAACGGTTCTAATTTTCCTTCCTTTTGTAGTCCTCCTTTGTACATTTTAAAATTAATATCTTATTGTGTTTGCTTGTATTTCTGTGCATTTCAGGGTGGACCAAATCCTTGGGAAGGGCCAAATTCCTCTGGATAAGAAGATTCGAGACAAGCTGCTCTCTGATGGCGATATACTGGAGGACATGAGCATGCTGGGTCGCGTCTGTAAGGTGGAGCGACAGGTCTGTCCTCTGGGTTTTGTTCTTAAAATTTCAGGAGGTTGAGAGGATCAGGGTTTTTGCTAATTGGAGCTTCAGTGTTTGCTGCCTCCGGTCCTCATTACGTACCCCAAAATGCCCCCAGTGTTTCTGGTCAATAAGACTAGAACAGCGCTACGTAAGTGCCAGTCCATCGACAGCAAACCAGCTAAATACAGTAAAATGTGATCCATCTCGACTGCGTTTAAGTTTCCTAAAGTTACAGGTAATAAACTTGTTGGTATTCCGGCTCTGTGCCGCTTCCAGTTTTTATGCAACATTAGACTAACTCAGCTAATCACATTCATCTCCAAACTGCTTATAAGACTAAAACATCTTACTGATCATTTTATTTTGGTATTTGTCACAATGGGTAGAATTCAAAACCTTATTAAGACGGCCCTGAATCACATTTTACTCTTTACAGCAAATTGATTTTTTTCAGGTGCACAAGTTGAAAGTGGCAAATGCATATGAATCCTAAAGCTTAAAACAAACATCTGGTAGAAAGCAAGATGCTGTTGAGGTAGCTATGAGCCCCCAGAGCTGATTCTTAAGCATTCAAATCGACACTTAGAGCATCTGTACATTCTGCCAGATGTGGCGGTAGATCACTCCTTTATTCCTCTTCTCTGCTCACAGGTCCAGTCGATTGAGTCAAAGCTGGACTCCCTGCTCGACATTTATCGTCAGGTTCTGCGTAAAGGCTCGTCTTCGGCCCTCACGCTTTCCTCTCTTCCCCTCTTCGAGCTGGAACAGACTTCAGACTACCACTCCTCTGTCTTCAGCAAGGACATGTCCTGCTCCACCCAGGTCAGCAGCAGTGGAGCGCCGCCCACCAGCGGCTTCGTCACTCGCTCCTCCACCAGTTCTCATCTCTCGCAGGGAGGACTCCATCTCATCCTGGGGCCCCCCAACGAGCTCAACCTCAATCTCAATGCCCCCTCTTCCACGCCTCCCTCTGGCCTCGCATCATCCTCTTTCAGCCCATCGCCCCTGCCACATCATCATCACCATCGCCACCACCACCATCCCCAGGCTCAGGCCACCACACCTGAAAGTGGCACTGATGAGGCTATGGGTAGTTCTCCACCCATCCTCACCCCGAACAGTGTCAGCAGTTCAGGGGACAGAGGAGTAAGAGATGGTGGGTTTCCTCTTCTGGCGAGGCTTCCACCTCCACCCCCTCCTAGCCGAAGTCACGGCCCTGGTACTTTAGTGCGAACAGCCTCCATAGAGGTATCCCCTGACATAGAGGACTTTTGTGGAGGTCTTGGGACACAGATGGAGGACAGCGTTGTCAGGAAGGACCTTGGCCTTGGGTTGGGGCTCAACAGATTGGGGCAGCAGCTCCAAGGGAACAGCAACAGCAGGCTTAGCACAAAGGAGGAGGGATCTTGGAGGAGACAAATGAGCTTGGAGCTGGAGCCCCTGGTGCCACCAGCGCTGGGCTGCTGCTCTGGGTCCAACGAGATGGACCGAGGATTGGGCAAGTCCATGTCAGTGCAGGATCTGAAGCAAGTAGCCCCCACCCATCACGGCCACAGCCTGTCATCTCCAAGCCCCAGTACAAGCAGTGACTCCCCCATTGGCTTCCATAGCTGTAGCCAAGATCCTGGGGGAGGAGGGGGCGGTACAGGCAGGAGGAGTGGAGGTGGGTGGGGTGAGGAGGACCTCTTTATCAGTGATAGAGACATTGAGACGCAGGGACTTGACTTCTTGTCACAGGGGTCTGCCGAGACTCCGACTTACTCCTCAGAACTCCTGAGGACAGGCGGCAGAGCCGGAGCAGGGACCCAGGGCTCAAACCGCAGTCTGGCCAGCGGTCACGCATCCTTGCCCTCTACTGGCAGCAACGAGTTGCTGAACATGCCACACGTACGGCTAAAATAGACCCAGCTACATGTCGGGAAGGCACACCAATCTCACCTCAAAAAGACGGTTTTTATCCTTTTTGGAGGGAAGTGGGTGGGTGGGAATATTACATGGGGTCTTCTTCTGTTTATATTCATGTTGATCCATTTGATAAGAATCACAGTATTTTCATACAGGCTGACCATATGACATATCATTGCATGAGTTTTGTTTTAAAGTGTGATTGACAAATCTGAGATAAGAGCCTGAGAAACGACAACAGAGACACCCAAAAACCTCCGCTGTTAAACTCGGGTTGATATGAGACCTTGACATACAGCATGGAGTGCATGCTTATTGTAAAGAGGTACAGAGATTTGAAAGGTACAGTTTGCAGTGGAGGCCATGGGCTCCTAACACTTATTGAAACCCTCTCTGAGAATGGCCATGTTCAGTGTATAAAAGCCACATTTTGTGTGTCTCCCATCAAACAAGACGTTTCCACACTGAAGTGATGTTACATCACTACTGCCAGATGCATTCTTTCTTTCCCATCTTTAACCTCTTAAGATTCACAAGGTCCTTGATGACATATCTTAGGTTTCGGTTTCTTAGCATCCAACCAATTTTTGAACATTTTCACCTGTTTGGAAAATGGAAAATCTTTTTATAGAAAAACTGTAATGTGGAAATGAACAAGACTTAATTCTGAGATGTAACGTCGTCTTTGTTTCTGGAAATTTGGCCTTGTGGCTAAAATAAGACCCAACTTTAACCATAATCTGTACAGGTAATCTGAAGTTAAGAGGGTAAATTTTATGAAACTAAAGCAATACATTCAAAGGACAGAATTTAAATCATTTTAGTTTCAATCAAACCTTTAAAAAGAACTCTATTAAAAAGGAATATACCAGTGTAATGTGAATACAGGCAATACGATTTACGTTTTCATGCATGTTTTTTTTCCGTCTATACAGCAAGAACAACAAATTTCTTGTGGTATTAGGTTGTTGTCCTCAACACAATTTTGGAACTCTGTTTTATAAGGTGCAAGAACACACAGGGAAGGTAGGGGAGGGGCCAGTTGCATTCAGAGATTTGATTGGGCAACCAAGTGTCAGTAATTAAAATGAACAAATGGGCTCCTGTTAGTGCTTGTAGGGCCCCCCCAAAAAAGAAAAAATATATACACTGATGTATTGGAGCATAATGATGTTATCAAGTATTGTTATGTTAGTATAAGTACAGTTAGATTCTCTGAGCACCATGGTTCTTTATCTCTTATGTTTTCCATCAAGGTAAAATGATATTTTTGGACTGTTCAACCACAATCACTGACTGTATATAAGAGATGGACGTAGCTTCTAGATCTGAAAAGTGAAGTCAATGCAGAAGTGCCTTAAACCTGCATTCTTTCTGATGGCCAGCAGGGGGACACTCCCTTGGTTCAAAAGGAAAGCCCTGTTGTGTAAACTGAGAAAGAAATGTCCCTGCTGCTCACTTCCTCGATGGGTTCATAGTTAACATCACTAGTTTCAAGTAAAATATTGTTCATTTTGTGAATCGTGATCCCTATTACTGTGCAGGACATAAAGCAGGTTTACAGGGTGAACATATGGGCATTAAGTGTCCCTCAGTTTCACCATCAGCTCCACCTCTGCTTTCAAAAACACCAAGATGGGAACCCCAAAAGTGCTTCATAGTAGGAAATGAGTAACCGATAGGTGAAAGCAGAGTGGCTACCTCCATCTTATATAGTCTTTGTTCACTTAAACTCAGATTCTTTTGGTGTCTTATTTTGAAACTTATAAAACCATAAGCTGCTACTCAGAGGCTCAGCGGGAAGAAAAGATATGCTTTATCCCAAAGCCCAACTTTTGTGTACTTTGGGCTTTTTCCAAACACAACAGGTACATTTAAGTGTGGATTTTATCTTAAGTTGGGGAGTGGAACCACTCCTCACAACACCCTCTTCAAGCTGTTGGTCTACAAATGTTTCCTGCCCTACATATTTGTATATTCTTGTTTCCATGCCCCGCCCTCTCTCCTTGCTATTTGTGGGATCAGCCCGGGAGCTGGCGTTACAACAACAAAGTGATAGTCTGCCAAAAAGTGATTCCTGATGTTTCAGTGTGTGTTTTATTTGTAATGTCTTTATTTATATTGATTAATAGACTTGAACAGGATTTTAAAAAGGAGTTTTACATAAAATAACAAAATGACCAGTTTTGCAAGTGTCTTTGTGACCATGTTGGTCTCTTAAAACGTCGCATAAGTCGTATTTGTTTCAACTACTGCTGCGCTCTTGACCAGATCACTCTTAAAGACATTTTTGATATCAATGAGATTTGTTAACTGGATAAATAAAGGATATATATGCATCTATTCTCTTCCACTTATCCTTACCAGGGTTACGGGGTGGGACTCTAGCCTGTGTCGTCTACCATAGGCGAGAGGCAGGATATGCCCTGGACAGGTCGCCAGTCTGTCGCAGGGCTAACGTGTAGGGACAGACAACCATTCCCACCTATGGGCAATTTAGAATGACCAATTAACCTAACCCCACAAACTGCATGTCTGTGGAGTGTGGGAGGAAGCCTGACAACCCACACAAACACAGGGAGAAAATGCAAACGCCACACAGAAGGGTCCTGGCCAGATTGTGGAGTTGAGCTGTCTGCGGCAACAGTGCTAACCAGCACGGCACCGTGCGGCCCTACATATATAAACGCCAAAAACTCTGCAGTTTCCACCTTGTGGCAGGAATGTTGTTGTAGCTCAAGATGACTTGATATCATTCATGAGGGATACATTTTTATATATTATAGGCTAACAAGTGATTTACAGTAGTTTAAATACAGGCAATCATTTTTGGCAGACGATCACTTTTTTGTCAACACCACCACCAATCCTCAGCCCGAGGTCATAGCTCACCATCTATTTGTTACCTTCTTTCAAATGCCCAGTTGTGTTTGAGGTTGAGTTCCCTGCTATTGGCTCAGGGAGTTATTTTTCTGGTCAGAATGAGTCTTTGGGGTTGACCAAGCATGAAGAGCCAACACAAATTGTTATTTCTGACCATTTCCTTGGATAAATTAAACCCCATGTTAAAAAATGTTGGTCTCTTTGATGGGTGGCCGTAAAACCCCTGAACTCAAATCAAAGGCATGTTTCAAAGGCATGCATGCAAGTTTGCTGTATGCACACGTGTACAGAGAAGAATGCCCATTCCCACTATCAGCCAGTGAGGACTCAACAGAGGTTACAAGCAGCGGCTGTTAACTTCACATCAATTATGCACCGACCGGTTGGTTTCCCTGCCGATCGCAGCCATGGATTGAAGCACATCTCAAGTGTCATTACCTGGTTTAAGAGAATTGCTTAATGTCAGAACAGGTGTGTGACCTGGCAAAGCACTTTGTTTTGGTTCAGAAACACTGAAGGAAATGTTTAGACGTACGAGTTTTTCTTGTATCTGGCTTTTCTCCCGGCCTGTTCTTACATGAGGGAAGATTTTTAAACTCTTATTTAAAATCATGGTCAATGTTTGCTTTTTTTCTATACTCTGTGATGTGGGGATTATTTTTGCTTCCTGGCTACAGAATGTATAGTCGCTGAGTATTGACATTAAACCAAGAAAAGCAATGTCAAACCTCCTTGTTGCATGTTAGAGAATTAGATGCATTTGATACGGTTAAGTAGGTTTTTCTGGTACTTGGGGAAACTATTACAGCACAGCTAGATGCAGATCAGTTTTGGTGATTGGTCCACCTCTGGCTATCACAGGTAAAAACTGCCCATCTGGTCGATCTACATTTCTACCCTCACCTACGATTGTGGATCTGAGTGTCCCTGCCCGTGTGACACAGACAGGCTAAATAGCAGGGTAGAACGTGGACTGATCTATAGATGCATGACATAAAGCACCTGAATAGATTCTGCAGATACCCCTTACCAAAAACCGGAAAAGTTTGAGGAAGTTTAGTTTGCTTTGAAGAATGGATTTTAATCTCCTTTGCATGAAGAGGCTGCCATATCCAACCCTATCTAGAAGTGATAATGAATGCTATGCCATCACTTGAGTTTAAAATCAAGGAGCCCAGCTCTGATATGAAGTCTACAAAATGTGCAGTACATCCAGTATACCGGTGCCTTGCTTGTATGGTACATATTGAGCTTTGAGTTAATTTAGTTTCTGAAAGGTGCATTAGGTTCCTCCACACAGAGATGATTGCACTGTCTTTATTTCCTCTCATTAGGTCCTTACTTGAGGCATTTTAGTTTTTATATTCAGAGATTTTGCTATTGAGCTAAAAATGGACCTTTGACATGTTACCATTCTGTCTGTGTGTCATTTTAATTTATTTAAATTATGTTCACATATTTACACACTAGTAATAATCTCAGATTTATGAAGCCTGTAATGTAAATGCAAGCAAACTTTTATTCTCATTCATCAATAAAGGAAATTCTACAGATGTTTTTTGGTGGTTTTGATTTGAATGAAATGAGGAGCAGAGAGATAATGTTTAAACACCTTTACTTGTATGAACGTAGAATCACAAATAACAGCGGTTAAGGTGAACTTAACAGTAACATTTATCAGAGCTACTTGGAGGTAGTTTAAGTTGAGCAAAGTGCGAGGCACGGAGAGTTTCTCTAAGGTGCAAACATGCAAGAAGCTGATCTACCTCAGGCTAACAAGTTTATCTTTTTGTTAAAGCTACAATACAGAGCTTACATGAACGAAGAGCTGACAAAAGAACGCGTCTGCCTCGTCACTACGATTGTCGTCTAGATCCACGAGAAGCTGAATCATTAACTTCAACAGGCAGAGAACTGTAACGCAAACCTATTGTGTTCTGCTGCAATAAAACCTACATAAGACGAGCACTAACAGCGTTTTGGTTAGTTTTTTTCCTTCGTCTGCTTTTGCGATGCATTGTGATAATAGACCAGACGCTGACTATGGAGTGCAGAAGGGGCGGGGTGTGTCTTCGGCCATGGTGAGCGTTTGGGGCAGCAGCCCAGCACAACGTTCATTTGGCCTTCTGCGCCTTCTGTGCCGATTTGGTGATCTTACCACTCGTGGCGGCTTTCTTTTCCACGCCTTTGATGACGCCCACCGCCACCGTCTGACGCATGTCACGGACAGCAAAGCGCCCTGAGGAGGAATTATTGGTAAAAAATGTGCATTAACATACAGAGAGGAGGTGACCCAAGTATATTAACAGGAATCCAGGGATATTTAGCTTTTTTTTTTTACATTGTTTTATTCGTCTGATAGAAAAATGTAACGCAAATTGTTTAACTTCAGCTATCCATTACTGTCCATTTATGTTCACTGATTAAATAAAGCAGTGAAGACAGACTAGAAGGTGGAGAGAGAGAAGATACAGCACTTTGACCATGTGGTAAATGGTCACCTGTGCCCCCACCCTTTCTTTCTGTGCTGCTGGATAGACAGGAAGCTATCGAGAGTGCTGCTTTTCTCCAAAAAAAATTAAAAATTATTATTTTTTAATATTTTTTTAATATTCACCTATATGATCAAGTTTAGAATATCCATTGAATTTATGCAAATAATAAATTTGGCATTTTAAGATATATTTCTGTCCTTTTCACCTTTATTAGACAGTGACAGATAACTGTGGGGTGAATAGAGATTATTTGAGCTGGAATCGAACCCAGGCATCTGCAGTGGGGACAAAGCCTTCAGTACATGTTGTTCTACAGGCATCGCCAATAATCTGGTTTTAGTTTGAATTGAAAACTAATTTCTTACTGTCAGTGAGAGTAAAGTTTGGATAACTCACAAAGCTAAAATTTAGATCCGCAAAATCCAATTTCAGGATAAAAAAAAACCTACCGAGCGGCGGGTACTCAGAGAAGCTCTCCACACACATGGGCTTCCCGGGGATCATATCAACAATGGCAGCATCTCCAGACTTCAGGGACTTGGGGTTGTCCTCGAGCTTCTTACCAGAGCGACGGTCAATCTTTTCCTTCAGCTCAGCAAACTTGCACGCAATGTGTGCAGTGTGGCAGTCCAGCACGGGGGCATATCCAGCACTGATCTGACCAGGGTGGTTCAGGATAATCACCTGCAGGGCAGCAGACACAGGTATTATTTGTAAACCTGTAGAGGAACAGAAGGAAGGATGTGCATTTCACACTACTGACAGCACACCTGAGAAGTGAAGCCAGCTGCCTCCTGTGGCGGGTCGTTCCTGCTGTCTCCAGCCACGTTGCCACGGCGAATATCCTTCACAGACACGTTCTTGACGTTGAAGCCCACGTTGTCACCGGGCAGTGCCTCAGTTAGGGCCTCGTGGTGCATCTCCACAGATTTCACCTCAGTGGTCACATTGACGGGGGCAAAGGTCACCACCATGCCAGGTTTTAGGATGCCGGTCTCCACTCGACCCACGGGTACAGTACCGATGCCTGGAGGAGAGGCAGGTTAACAACTTTACAGCTGTGTGGAAGACCTGCATGGATTAAAGTCGTATACTTCTAAGCCTCAGCATTTAGGACAGAATGAACCAAAGGGAATTTCTTCAGACCTCATTCAGCTCAGCTGTTTTTATCACAAGGTGATCTCATTCCTATTTTCATACATATTCTGGAACAACCAACACTTCAGCCAAACTTCACAACACATTTCATCCTTACAGCCTCACCTCCAATCTTGTACACGTCCTGCAGAGGCAGGCGGAGGGGCTTATCGGTCGGACGCGTCGGAGGTTGGATGGCGTCCAGAGCCTCGAGCAGTGTGGTGCCTGAGGCGCTTCCATCTTTACGGTTGATCTTCCAGCCCTTGAACCAGGTCATCTGTGAAGGGAGAGAAGCCCACATGTCTGCAGCTTAGCAAGGAGTGATAAGATGTGAATGTTAACACCAGATAAATTCTGAGCTAGAATTTTACACCCAGAAGCCATTTGCCAAAGCTGAAGAAGGAATGAGGTGCTAACTAGCAGGCATTAGACCTGTAAGCATGTTGGAGTATTTTTACCCAAAAGCTCATTCTTTAATAGTTATAAAACCTTATATTATTATAGACGTGTAACTCCCTGCTAGTCTCAGACAAATAAAAGAGTCATAGCTGGTCTCATGGCAGACTCACGTTAGGGCTGGGCTCCAGCATG